TGTACCTTAGTTGAGTCGCGTTAAAATTCTTGTGATGTGGACATATATCGGAAAGAATACACAAGCATAAAATGGTGTCCACGTGATTGTGGAACGAGCCATAATGGCGCATTCTAGAAGTTTGACAGTTTTTTTATATGTAGTATTATAAAGCACGACTTATAGTGATCGTCTGTATTAATACAGTAAAACTATAGGTCGATCACAGATCGATTTCTCTTTTTCCATTCGTACTACTTTTTTTAGTCGTAAAAGCTATGTCGTCTGACGTTACAAGTTCCTCAACCGGTGTCATGTCAATAGTTGAACATGTGAAGGCATGGAAGACGGAGATATCGAAATATTATATAATCAAAGGGTTAAGGGTAGTAACTTCTTTGATTTTACTGCAACGGATTTTGAGAGATGGGGAATACCGGGTGGACCAGCTAAAGAAATCGAAAAGCTGATTAATAAAATTCAAGGAGGTAAGCGAGCTTATTCTCGCCCAAACTGTGTCAATATTCGCCAATAATACCGAATACTTACTTCTTCTTATCGTCAAACCCGCCCAAAAAACACATTTACATTATCGTAGCTCAACCCGTTGCTGGTAAGTGATTCGTAATAAATTAGTCAACGCAGTGAACGCGATATGGCTTGACTTTTATAGCCGTTGTCGCTTTATTTTTCGTCTGTGCTGTGTCACATCGATATTTCAAACCCTGGTAAATCTGTCTTCATTATGAAAGTATTAAATGTTTTATGTAGCCGGCACTTCAAAATCAAACACCGGACTTGTGTCCGTTTTTGCGGACAATTCCAACTTGTTTATCGAAGGAAAGTATACTATAGGTCAAATAGAAAAGGCAGGCACATTTGATCAACAGAGAAATTCCTTTTACCTCAACCAGCTTCACATTGACCATGGTCGTCTTCTATCAACAATATTGAAAGGACGACAAATGGGTAGCAATCCAATTATTGTTGGCTCTCGTCCGCCACCGAACGATTCGTTGTGGAAGCAGATCAGAAATCAAGGTTATGATGTGGTCGTTTACGATCGAAATATCGAAAATAAAGAAAAAAAAGTGGATATGGCTCTCGGGGTTTCTGCAATGAATGTCATCTGGTCTAATGATCTCGGCGTACTCGTCCTAATAGCTGGTGATGGGGATTATGAACCTGTAATAAATGAGGCTCTGAAACGCAAGTGGAAGGTTGAAATCTGGTTTTGGTCATCAGGTATGAAATATTGCTGTATTTAAATCACATAGGTTCTCTAAATGAATATCTCATTATATAGGAATATCCGGTGATCTCATGAGAAAATCCATTTTTTATTCTCTGGATAATTTCTATCGACATTTTACATATGCGTACGGACAAGACCCCATTGGAAAAAATTATACCCTTGAAATAACTGACGGTGAAACGATTGGAAAATGGGGGGATGATGAAGTAATGAATTGTTTTGTTCCATTAAAGTTATATGGATGGTGGTACCGGAAAGAAAGACATATTATATCTTTGTACTTCGATAACAAAGCGAATTTGGAAAAGGCAAAAAATTGGGTAGAGATTGAATATCCTGATATACAGGTTTGGGAAGTAGAAAAGAGGTAAGCGCCATTAAGCATAGCGTGCATTTTTTTAATGTTGATATGAATAAAACAAGCCAATTTTAACTTGCTTTGGGTTGGGTTTTTGCGTGAGTGTCAACCAATGATTACATTCCCACCCATGAACAATTATTGTTATACCTTTGGAATCCCACTTACTTTGTATCACTCGTTTAATTATAGATGCGACTTTGTGAATCGTTAAAGCAATTACACATAGTAGGTGACCTACTAAGGTTGCCTGCCGAAACCTCTTAGTAGACCGTCAAACTTTACTCGATATAATTTATTTTTGTATTATTAATAGAAAAGATTTTTGGGTTCAATTTTGATATTATTAGTTTAACATTGATTGAAATTGAATAATAAAGTTCGCCCACAATCCGGGCTTTATCTTTTTTAACTATGTGTATGTGTGTTCTGTGTGGATAATTGACCTTACAAAAATAATGCACTTTGAGATTTTTTTGATGCTAATCATTGAGTTCATTTTCAGCAATGGAATGGCATTTCACCATATACACGCCCGAAGGAATATATGCAACAAGTAATAGTGAGCATCAGATAAATCTCTCGAAGACCGCAATCAAAGAGAATCTCGACACACTCAGAAGTAATGTAAAAAGGGTAATCGGGATCATCGTTGGGTTGTTAAAAGACCGGATCAATGTTGATAACTCACCAGCCAGTAAGAGGACGAGAATCAAAAAAATTACTAAGAAATAGTTGACCCCCGCTTCACATGTATTTTTTATATTGTATCAATAAAGACGATCAAGAAGTTCATTTTTATGATAGTAATGATTTTTTTTTTTTTTTTGCCTGCTTGTACAAGGTGTCATTTGGGATCATCGCTCCGAGATGTGCAATTCCAAGATTTGTTAATGGGCGGACCTTAATCTTCACTCTTTGTCAGGCTCACTTTTTCTGAGAGATAATTCGAAATACCTCATATTGGAGGCGATCACATAGTGGCTAGAATGTCTGCTAATATCTCATCTCTCGAAGTCCTTGCATTAAATATTCTAAAAAATTCATTCTCAGAAAAGATTGCAGAAGGCTTGTTATGCAACCAAGAACTTTTTTTTGTATGAAATAAAAAACCCGATTATCATACTCATATATATCATCGTGATTGTATCGAAAATTCCATAAAAAACCATTCAATATGTCCAAGACCTGATTGCAAGAAGGAGGTAAAAGAGGCAAAGTCTCGAGACAATGTCTCATCTACGGTTGACAGCATGCTTGGAAGTCAGAATATCAATGATCTTATGGATATATCCCCGTCATTAACATTAAGTGATGATTTTCCAATATTTAGAGATACCTCCCAGAAAAAACGTGCCGGTGAATCTACCAGTAAATCATCCAGTAAGAAAACGAAGAAGCAAGTTTCGAAAGAAGATTCTCCTATATTAAAAAAACTTATTGAGGAATTGACATCAACGATACCTGAAAATTCTAAAAAACCAATAGAAGTCAACGAAAGCACCAATAATTTTTTGTACCATTATAGCAAAATTACGCAGGCTGAATCTAAAAGTGAGATAGCAAGTAGGGAAGTTATTGAAAGTTATTTTAACTTTGGTGAAGCTATGAAAAAACGATTCGATCATTACAAGAATCTCAAACATGGAGAACGAGCTTGCTTGGTTCTTGTTAATGATGAAATCCGGAAACAACTCCCCGATAATATCACCAATGATGCATTGAAAAAAAAAAAAATAGAGAGTGGGAAAAATATATGATTTATTTGTTAGTATTGGTAAAGAGAAAATAAGAGGTACTAGATCATTTTCAGCGTCAAATATTTCAAACTTAAGTCAAGAAAACATTGATTGTGATAGTCGAAGTTTTAAAAAAGGAAAATAGAATATGATCTATGTTACTGCGCCAGTGACATCGATGTCACGTCCGAATTCATAAAGTTATAATGTTATAATTCTATTATTTCACAACTATATGCAGTATCATATGAATTATATGCACTGATTAAATGACCCGATTTCTTGTAGACCCAAAGGGCCATTGCTTCGCAATAAGCTTTACCGCTATTTAAATCGTACGTCTACATGAAATGTACGGTGTCAAAATGAACTAACACCTACCAATTCATTATTCGTTGTCAGTTATCCGTTATCTAATAGTTAGCCTACCTAATTGCACGTAAAACTTTGATCGGCCTCATCGTATATGCCACTGCAAATATGACGAATATACACAACTCATTTAATAACCCAGGCCCTATGGGGCGTTCTTCAAGCATCTGCACTAAAAATGAATCATAATATTTTAGAGTATATAGTTATTAAATCAAATAGGTCTAAATATCCTAATCGATAAATATGTCTGGTTTTGATATCGCTACTATCATTGATAAAAAAGACAAAACACTTCCTAAACCATATATTTATCGTCCTGGTTTTGATATGAAGTATGATGTATCATATATATTAATAAACTCAATCAAATTTTCGATAATGAGAGATTATTTGATACATTATCTATCATAAAACAGAATGAAACACCGG